GATTGACTCAGTTTTTCTGGGTTTCTGGGCATTTAAAGAAGCTGGTTGCCGAGGTTTCCTTTGGACCTGTAGCAGGTTTGAGGATCACTGGTTTTTCTCTTTCCATTTTGATGCTGTGATAATTGTCTGTGAAAGACAAGAACAGAAATGTGACATTGAGAGCAGTGTTTTAATTAATTTAAACAAACTGTAAAGAAATCATTATTGGTAAATATAAATATTAGATGGAAAAACTTAAATTAGAAAAATTGCCTTGGCAACTAAATGAAATGAAGATATTAATTAAAAAAAGCCTAAAACTTTCAAATTAAAAAATGTAAAATATATATAAAATAAAAGCTAATTAATCAATACTATAAAAGGATATAAGTAATACTAAAATACTGGCTGAGAGATACATTAGCCAGGCTTTCAGTTGTCCTTCATGACAAATTTAGCTGCGTTCGGGCATAAATCTCCACCCTGGTTGAGAAGTTAATTAGCTGTAACCTGAAACTGTGCTGGGACAGAGTCCAGTACCAGCTTTAATGAATGACATAACACTCACTTTGAGAGAATATGTAATACTTGTATCCCTCTTTCACCCTTGAGGGTACAGACACAGCTGAGGTCACCATGGTCGGAAATCCTCTCCAGGTCTTTGAGATATTGATAACTTGCCCCAGAGCTGCAGCTGGGAAAAGAAAATATCCTAAAATGAATCAAAATGCTCAGAGTTCTGTGTCAGTTAAACTGTTTAAGGTCACTTGTCTGGTCTGTTAGGCCTCACATGGAACAAAATGTCCTGTTTGAAGCCTTGGTGAAACATCTGTTCCAAGGAAGTACTATACATGGTATTTTCACTTTTCCACATGTCTGCACAAATGCTTGTCAACACACAACCTTCCCCTCTTCCTTTACATCTAATTTCTTATTATTTTGGCATTTAAACGTGATAAAAACGTAATGCTGTGTTGTTTGAAATGGCATTATTTTCTAATCAAATTTGTGATTCTTTACCAGCTTGTCGTCTGGCTCTCGTCCTCACTGTCAACATAGGAATTCTTGGCTTTTTCCCACAATTTGGAGTAACCTTGTATGTGTACTTTTGCGCCATCCCACCTGCAGAAATCAATTTGAAAGTCAACACTGACACACCTAATAAAAACAAGCACCCATAGTGTGCTTACAGAATGTACATGTACATTCTTTCAATTCTTACCTCTTTTGAAGAAGATTACAGACTCTTTTCTGCTTCTGTACTTAGGTATAGATAAAGCAGCTGTGATATGACCAATCTGTCCGAAGCCCATGCTGATGGGTTTGGGAAAGCCAGGATCCATCAGACCATTCTCAAACCTCCAGTAGTTCTTTCCCTGGGAAATATGCAAAAACAGGACATATCAGTTGTCGATGAGCATTTAATTTGACACCACTTCTGTTCTAATTTTCTGTGATTCTCAGTCTGTAGTGAATTGAAGTGTTTTGTCCTAATGACTATGTATCAACCTTGAAGAAGTAGGTTTTGCCCTGGCAGTTGCAGCGGGTGTAAACCGTGTCGATGGGAGATGGGATTCCCCACACACTTGTAATTAACTGAGGAGGATCAGGATTTCTATGTTTGTCCAGTGTCCAAAAATAATGTCCTATAGAGAAGAAACCAAAAGTGGCATTTTTTCACACTTAACATTTGGTTTCACAGATCCCTACACTTTGAAGCTTTCCATTTAATTTTTGATTAATAATTATTTCTTTTCCCCAAAATTCTACTCTGTGTAAAATGGAAAAGATAAATTATTTGAACCAACATAAATAGTGTAACTATAAAGCGAGTATGTTGTACCACCTGGTACTGACCTCTGAACACCACAATTGTACCATTTCTGAGAGTAGTCAAACCACTGACTGGACGCCCACTGCAGAGGTTAGTGTCATAATCATCTGTAAAAGGAAAAAAAAAAAACCATTAAAAAAAATATTTAAGAAACAAAACAAAGTAATACAATTATCCAAAACTTTCTTTAAAAAAAAAAAACCTTAGAAGGTTAGTAGGACCTTCTTTTGGTGCTGTGTTAGTAGGACCTTCTGTTGGCACTGTCCCTGAAGGACCTTTGGTTGGGGCTGTGCTTATAGGACCTTCTGTTGGTGCTATGCTTGATGGACCTTCTGTTGGGTTCTCATCAGCAGGGAGTATGGTGCTTGCATCTGGAGAGGACAAAACTACTACAATTATGGTCGACATGCACATTAAACATTGTCTCAGCTGGGACATCAGTTTGACAAAATAAAAGTGAAATGTTTAATTTTATAATCATTGACATATCTTTGTGAACAAATGTTGCTTTTTGTGGCATTTTGCATATTTAACAAATAAAGCTTATGATTATTATTGCTCACCAAGGCCCTCAGAAGGTGTGGACTCACTTTTATCCTCAGGGAACGTTAACTCTTCTCCTTCAGCATAAGAACACAATTTCAGTCATTTCACCTGAGTACAATGGTTTTGCCTATGGCTGCAAAACCATATTGACTGAAACTGAGGTGTGTCTTGGCATACGGGCAATTATCTTAAGTATAGAAAATGTTGTCTGCTGTATAGACATCTGCTTTTTCAATGATCATAATCAAATGTCAATGTAAACTAGTTTATGATTCCTTTTTCAACAAGTGCTCCTACAGGGAAAAAAAGATAAGAAGTAACAAAGAAAAACACTCACCTCCAATCCCTTCATCATTGGTCATCTCCTCATTGGAGGTTTCTACCAAAAGAAAAAAAAAAGACGTCAACTATACTTTAAGAGTACTGTTACTACAGTCAACAGTTACATGAAGCAAAAGATCAATACACTTTGATTTGGTTATTTGTGCAAAGCTACAGTAATTATACCTGTAGACTTTTTATTCTTTATGTTTAGGCATAGGTTAGCGGTCCTTTGAGCTGTGGTGGCAGTGTTTCTTGGTTTTAAGGCAGTATCTGTGACAGTCACAGAGATAAGCGTAAAATCAGGGCAAAATTAGATGCATGCAAATCAAGTCAAGTCACCTTTGTTTATATAGCGCTTTATACAATACAGATTGTGTCAAAGCAGCTTTATAATGTTAAACAAATGGATGGATACATCTGTAATTCCACATTTCTGTTGTTAATTATTTTCATTAATAAATAATATATATTACCATTCAAATGTTTGGGGTCAGTTGGATATATTTTTAAAGAAACTAATACTTTTATTCTGCAAAGATGCATTAAATTAATCAAAAGTGACAGTAAAGACCTAAAAGATTACAATTGTAAAGAAACACTGTTCTTTTGAACTTTAGTCATTGGAGAATTTTGAAAAAAAATAAGAAGATAAAAGGACTACTAAGCAACAAATCTACATCGATTTGTTATTTTAAATTGTAATAATAATTCATAATGTTACAGTTTTTACTGTATTTTTGATCAAATACATGCAGCCCTGCATGGTGAGCATAAGACTTCTTTCGAAAACTTTAAAAAATCTTACCAACCGCAAAATTTTGATATTTCTATAGTAGTAATATGTATGCAGTTTATATATTTTTGCAATCAGTCATTTTGCAAATGTTAGTCACATCAAAACATACAATTAGTATCAGTTGTTGCAAATCTATTTACAACCACACATGCGTTTGCAGCATTATCAATGCTCATTTATTTAAGAATTATTTAATTCAGATATGCTGTAGTTTCTTTAACGTCTACACACACATACTCCTTGTAGTTTACATTCTTACCTTCCACCAAGCACATGCTCTCATAATCAGTGCAGCACTGATTGTATAAGACACAATCAATATCGCAGTGAAAAAGATTGCCTCTATTAAAAGGCTCCCCGCAGCATCCTTTGCATGAGTCCTCTGTGATCAGAAATAATAGCAATGCAGTCTCATCAAAATGATTCAATAGACTGTTACAAAGACTAGACTACACCCGAGTACTCATGGCATTCACAGCAAATGCTACACCAATATTAATGAAACAGCCCCAGAGGAGAGTTCATATGAAACCTTACTTGTAGTACACAACTCTGTAAAGTCTGTACAGCACTCATTCAAGCTCAGACACTCATAGTCACACTGGCACAAACTTCCTCTGTAGTAGCCTTCTCCACAACGACCCTTACAGCTACCTGGACAGGGAACAGTGTTTACTTACAGAGAACAGACTTTGATTGAGAATTCACGTTTAGAGTATGTTTAGACACAGAGACAAACACAACATGAGATGAGTTAATTATTTGCAGTGTCAACAGAAATCAGTGCATGTTTGAGAGTAAAAACAGTTCACTGTTATATTGATAGATGGATGGATGGATGGATCGATAGATAGATACTGGTTAAAGTTTGGAATAATTTAGTTTTTTTAATGATGTTATACAAAACATAAAAAAAAACTTTATTCCAAACATTTGACTGGCAGAGTAGATAGATATTCTGCTGATTTACTTTGATCTGAAGAGCTTGTGGAGGCATATGCAAACAGCAGCAGTAAGGACAGATATGTGGCCATCTCGGTTGCTCACTGTTGGAATCACAAGCCTCTGTTTCTTCACCTGCATTGATCTTCACTTTTATATAGAGGCAGGATGTGTTGGTTTTCCCCTGTCAGTCCAATTATACAGTCAGTGCTGAATTGGTAATCGTCTCGTTAGCAAGGGTGCGGTGATCCACATGGTCAAACAGACTTGAACACCCCCCACCCCACTGTATGTGCCTGTCAAAAACATTTACAAAGTTTGCTGGGTGACATCACAGACTATTTATTTATTATTAGTTTGCAGGGTAACACTTTAAAATAAGGTTTATTAGTTAACATTAAATACTTTAGTTAACATGAATTAAGCATGAACAATAATTCTACAGCATTTATTAATCCTAGTTAATGTTAACTTCTACATTTACTAATGCATTATTAAAATCAAAATTTGTGCTTGTTAGCATTAGTTAATGCACTGTGAATTAACATGAACTAACAATGAACAACTGTATTTTCATTAACAATCATTAACAAAGATTAATAAATACTGTAATAAATGTATTGTTCATTGTTTTTTCATGTTAGTTAATACATTAACTAACATTAACTAATAGAACCTTATTGTAACGTGTTACCGTTTGCAGTTATTAATAAACATTCTTTTTCATTTAAATATTCTTCTATGTATATTTTTTTGTTATATAAAAAATTATTGTGTTGTTTACATTGCACGCATACTTTTATTTTATTACAATTTTTTCCTTAATTTATCTTCCAGACCCGTTTTAGCATTAATATTATTAATATTATTATGATTAATAATAATAATAATAATAGTACTACTACTTCTACTAATACAAGGTTGCCAGGTTTTCACAAGAAACCCCACCCAATCGATACTTAAAACTAGCCCAAAACTAGCCCAATGGCATTTCGAGGGGGTCCCCAGTTAACAATGCGTTCTGGGGGGTAAAATACACCTTTTTTGGCGGGGTTCCCCTGCTAGAATTGGCATTCCAGGGGCTAAATATCACGTTATTGAAGTCGCTTCAACCTGCGGACATGAAAAACAACCTGTGGCAACAGTGTTAAAGGGGTCCTATTATGCTTTTTCACTTTTTTAATTGAATGGTTGGGGGGTGGGGAGGGGCGAGGTTGTGGTTAGAACGCTTGGTTGAGTGAGCGCATCAGACGAGATGATGAAGAAGACGCTGCTGCAGAGTTAGTGCATCAGAGAAAACGAAGAGCTGCGGTGCTGTAGCTTAAAAATTTCGGCATGTCTAGAACAATTCTTACAAGTATAACACGACGTAGATGGGCACCGCGGACAGATGCCGAACGGTGCCGCCGGTGTGCCTATACTCATAGAAAATAATGTATTTGAATTTTAAAGATGTGGCGCGACGCTGCGCTCCTCGTCCGGTGCGCCTGAAACGCTGTTTTTTTTTTCACCTCCGTGCCCAAACGTCTTTGTTTGGGCTTCCGAAAGCGGATGATGTCAGGAAACAGTGGTTGCTATTTATTTTTTAACTCTGTTCCTGAGCATTATAACCCCAATTTGCTATTGTGTGCTGCGCATTTTACTGAGGACAGTTTCCACAACACGAGGGAGTACAGTGCCTGCCGGATTCGGCAAAAGCTTTTGTTGAAACACGGAGCAAGGGGCGTGGCAGTACTGAAACACCGTCTAAGCTGTTCGCCAATCACAACGCACTGGGACAGCTAACCAATCACAACACATTTTGTTTTTCGGAAACATCGAACCTTCATCAGAGCCGGAACTAATGGAGCCGTTTGAGCCAGGCTGGGGAGAAAGGTATTTTAATAATGTAAATTATGTGAAAAATAATGCGTTTTTCGAACCACCAAGCATGAGAGCATGTTCTAGTACACCCCAAAAACAAAAGCAAGACTTTGTAAAAGAGCATAATAGGACCCCTTTAAAGTAGCCCAATTACGCGGGAAAACCGCGGACTTGACAACACTGATCAAATAGCTCATGCACAGTTTGGTCAACCAACCACCACACCACCGAAGGGGAAAACCATTGACAATATTTCGGTGGATACGAATCAACTAAATGTATACAGTGCACTTTAAACACCTTCATATGCAGCCGCGTGGAACAAACACTTAAAAAAAAAAAGAATCCCAATTGCGTAAAATGCTGAGCTAAAAGACAGTCTTGAAAGATGTATTCCCCTGTCGTTATTGAGAGAAGGGGCACCCCTGTACAACAAGATGGTTTCGTCCAAATCTATAACGGGAAGAACCGGTGTTTATCGTTTGCGAACAGGAAGTTGTGCGTCGTGCCGTAATCGATGCAGTCTGTCAAACTGTCGACTGATTTGTTGTAGAGAAAATGAATTTAAAGTGTTTGTTCGCGGCTCAAAAACTTGGTCGAAGGTAACGGAAAGCAAACGCTGAGATTTTTTTTTTGCAATAATGCTGTCTGCTGGAAAGGAAAACTGGTTTTCCTAGGCAATTCGCTTCCTGCGAGGTGACGCAGCCATACAGGTAGTCTGCTCGCTGTACAGATGTCCTGTAAGGAATAGATCAGCACACTAAATAAACACTTTTCCGGAATACCGAGCAACAATTAACAAGCGAACCAAATCAATCTAATATATGACGTTAAGAGCTTGTCCAGTGTGATTCTGTCAGTCTTGATACAGTATAAATATGCCCTGTCCAGAATCCCTAAAATGACACGTTGACTGGAAAACGTACATGTCATTGCAATTTGCAACCATATGCCAGTCATCACTGTTATCACTGTGATCTGAATGTTATTTTCAGATTGTCCTCGAAAGCCAGGTTAGAGCATTGAATTCAAATTATAACCAACATTCTGCTGCTTTTTGACATCTTGCATGCTGTTTATCATTGCATGTCAATGAATACTCAGTTACCCAAAAGTGGAAGGTTATTGTATTGCCTTGTGACAGTCTGTCATCACACCACTCCAGTCCATCAATTAAGAGCTTGTGAAGCCAAAATCTGTTTGTTAGAAACGAATCTGTAATTAGCAGCATACATATCAAGGAGATATTCATGTGCATGTTTTTTTTGTAGTACAGATATTCATTACTTTTTTTCACAGACAGCGTGATAGGCAGATACCACCTCAGTGTAAGGATGGGTGCTGATAGCAGTGTGCTGCCAAGCTGTGTGCTGGAAGAGCCGTTGCTGACACTGCCGTCTGGTCTTACCATGTACTCTGCGCTCCTCCGGGATGGCAAGCCTGCCTCCGTCTTTGTGCATAAGCAAGACAATGAGGATAAAGTCAGTAAAGCTGCCAAGGTAAAAGTAAACAGCTGCTATGTAACCTCACCAATGACATACATTACCTGTCCAAAGTTTGGACACACCTACTCACAGATTCTCTATTATTATTTTCCACATCTTAGAATAATAGTAGTCACTTAATACAAATTGTATATAAAAAATAACAAGTCTAACACATAAATCTCTAAATTTCTCAGCCATTTCAGTCAAATAAATTTACCTGATTAATACATCTTCCTTTACAGCACTTGAAGACATTAAGGCATCCATGTCTTCTTCGCTTCCTGTCATGCTCAGTGCAGGATGGAGGTATACATTTAGTGACCGAACCAGTTCAACCATTAAAACGGTTGCTAGACAATCTTACTCCAGAGGAGATCTGCGCAGGCCTCTATGACCTTTTGCAAGCACTAGTCTTTCTGCATGACAGGGTAAGACGCATTTAATTATTGTTTTAAATATGGTTTTATTTGATTATTTTTATACATTTGTTATTGTTTTTTTTTTTTAATTTAGACAATTTACAGTGCACAGCATAAATGAGTACACCCCTCTGATTAAATATAAAAGATGTATTTTCTTAATGATGTAATATTCTAGAACTTAATATGTCCTCCATAACTCTAAGTATACTGCTCTGACACTTCTTGGCACTGAGTGTACAAGTTCATGACAAATTTTCACATTTGTGCTGTTTAACTCCTGGAGGACGACCTCCTTAAATGCCCTGGTCTTTAATGGGGAGTGTTGCTCTGCTGGTCTCTACAGAATCCCCCACAGCTGCCTTGGAAAAAGCTACATGAGTTTATTGTGCTTTGGCTACAGTCGGTAGTTCTGGTGTGGATAAACAACCATGATTGTCACTTCTGCATGCTGCATCTTACTCTTTGAGATAAAGTGTCACTCGTTTCACAGCTTTTGCCAGCTCTGAGACACTTTCACAGTGCTTCTCCTGCTCTTTTTCTAGCAAAAACTCACTCATCACTAAATTAAAGCTTAAAGTGAAGACCTGATTATTTCAGGGGCCTTTTCACAAGTCCATTGTTTTTGAATTTCTGTGTTACTTTGGCTATATTTTCACACTTAAAACAATAATTTGGTATTCCTCTTGTACCATTGTCCTCTTTTATGCTAAGAAATAAATCTCCTGACAGTTCTCTCTCAAGTGGTTTCATTGTTGTCAGCATTAAGTCTGAGTATGATTCAGTGGGCCATATAACACTTAATTATCAAGAAATTACTTGCCTTTAACAGTTTTGGTTCAACATACTTACCTGTTGATCAATACTTGCCTTAACCTTTACACCAGAATTAATTTTTTTATTAACTTTCAGGAGGGTGTACTCATTTTTGCAACACATTTTATCTCTTTGATAAGAAAATGGTATTTTGTTGAATAATTTTAACATTCTTCTTTGGTAACTGATCAAGCAGACTTGCTGGAATATTATATCTCTAAAAAACCATAACATGTCTTCTAAGCAAAGACTAAGTTTCAGAGGGGGCGTACTCATTTATGCTGTGCACTGTAACTAACTTAACTAAATAATTTCTCTTTCTCATCTCTTAGGGCAAATCAAGTCACAACAATGTGTGCATATCCTCAGTGTTTGTCAGTGAAGATGGCCATTGGAAACTCGGGGGGATGGAAACTGTCTGCAAGTTTTCAGAGGCAACACCAGAGGTGACAAGTGTTGATTTATGCTTTATACATAATTTAAAGGGTGCGCAAATCTTTTTTGTTTTTTTTACCCTCGGGTACTCAATTTCTCT